CTGCTATTGGCAAGGCTCCTCCTGTACCCGCTATACCTTTAGGAAAGCTACCTACTATAGCTTTACCCTATGCTGCAGTCTGTTATATACTGATTATTGCTGACTTCAAGCATTCAAAATTAGGAGTCAATAGGACTGCCAGACTGCATATCTTAAGTACGGACCCCTGCTTTGCTGATTTGCAATGGAATTTTCCTGATGATAGGATCCACAGTGCCCCGCTTCAAATGGCTGCGGTGCCCCCGAAGGTACAACAGAGGTATTGTCATACCCAAGGGTTTGACCTTGAACACAGACGATCACATTTCGTTACAGACGGTTGTTGGCAGATCGACAAAGCAGCAGCAAATTAAAGTTCCCAGAACACCATTATCATTTGCTGAACTACTTTGTGTTATTACAAGCATGGAAAGACAAATTAACAATACACAGTAAACATTTCCTGCTGAAGAAAATGTTGATGGTAACAATGCAATTCAGTTTCAAAAACAGAGCACTGGAAACACACAGCCTCAGCAGATTTGCAAACCTTCTGCTCAAAATCTCAAATCCAGTTCTGAAAACAACCTCGTATGGCCCTTAAGGAAAAGTAAATGAATATGCAGCGTGCTTCCTTGCAAAAATCAAGGACCAACTTCATTACTTATATACAGGCTGCAAAATAAGCTGCAACACATGGCAATGCTGTAGGCCCTCATGTAAGCAATACAATGCCAAACACCAAGTGAGTTTCAGCTGCTCAGCCAAGTAGTTATTATGGTCTAATTCATTTCTCCACACATTGTCTTAAATACAATGGGTGTTTACACTAAAATTGTTATTGTTGCTAAACCAATTAAAAGTTCTTCCACACACAAGCCATCCACCTGCCCCCCAGTTTGCTTGCTTCTGCTAGTCCCTGCACAGCTGTTCCTTCTTGAAACATCCAACACCTGCAAATGGCCTAGTCTCCCCCACTTTAGTCTTACATATCTGAAATTCTGTCCTGTTAGGACATGCACATTTTATGGGAGAAGTGCTAGGACACAGTAGGTGCATCGCACTTCTGAGCAGCCTTAGGATACTTCAGTGAAAGACGAGATCATGGCCATAGCCTCTGCAGTGAGAAGGAGTCAGCATGCTGATCGAGTCAGTGCACAAAAGCATTTATGACTTCTTGGAAAGAATCACATTCTGCAGTTAGGTTCCAGAACCGGTAATTTTATTCTGCTAGACAGAATGTTCTCTGAAATTTTTGTCTTTAGTGATGTTGATTTTCAGCTGTTACATAGCTATGTTTCAGTGGTAAATGAGAGTTTCACTATAAACTTCAACAAAAATAAAAGGCAAGATGGTTGTTAAGAGAACTAATTACACAAATCTCTGTATGATTTCTACACATTTGGCAAGCCTTTCACACATGCATACAAAGTTCCTACATTTACTATATAAGAGAGTTCTACTGCATCCATGTTTTAAAAAAATACTCAGGAGTTTTCAGGACAATAAGGGAAACTTGACCCTTTTAGAACATTTTAAAATAGCAATTAATGCAGCATCATAAAACTTCTAACAACACTTTCATACATTAATATTTCTGATTTAATAGGCATAGGGAGATTGTTTGATCAAGGCCCAGTACATCCGTGACAGAGATACAGCACGTATATGGCTTTTATTCCTACACAATTCAGCTCGCATACCCAGTCTTCTCCCCCAGCATGTTTTTTCAAGAGTTTATACAGCAAACTATTCTCTCTGCTAATGAATTTGCTAATGAATTAACATTAATAAAACCATAGTAGCCTTGGTTTGAAGACTTTAGGTGCAAGTGTACGTACCACTAAGTGGCATGTCTTTTTGATGTAAAAAGTTCCTCTATTACAGGTGGGCCAAATGCTGCGATACATCCATCAGCCTACATGAAGAACTTGCATGATTTATTTTGTACACAATTAATTTCAACAGAAAGATCCAGCTACTCAAGGGACTGTCTTGTCTTTGTTATTTAAATAAAATCAATCAAGAAAAAGCACAAGATTTAAATCTAATAAGCATTCTTCTTGACCATCTTGATGAAAATAAAGAGCCAGATGCAGATAATGCATGCAAATTCTGGATTTGTTACTTTCTGGCAGTTCTTTGTTCTAACAACAGCACCTGTATTACAGCAGTTCACAGAGCAGGAGGTGAAATGGTGGAAGCGAAGTTGCACTTGCTGTCTCAGTTGGATTGGTCTGCCCGGCCAGCTGATTATGCAACAGCGCTTTCTTCCCTTCTATACTCTCTGCAAATGAAAAATACTCCTGATGTTTAAAAATAAAGCCACCTCTGAAAAATGACTGTTCACCATGAATAACTTAACTAAATTAGAATCATAGAATCATTAAGGTTGGAAAAGACCTCTAAGATCATCGAGTCCAACCGTCACCCCAACACCACCACCCACTAAACCATGTCCCTAAGTGCCTCATCTACACATCTTTTAAATACCTCCAGGGATGGGGGCTCAACCACTTCCCTGGGCGGCCTGTTCCAATGTTTATCCACTTTCAGTGAAGAAATTTTTCCTCATGTCCAATCTAAACCTCCCCTGGCACAACTTGAGGCCATTTCCTCTCGTCCTATCGCTTGTTACTTGGGCGAAGAGACCAACACCCACCTCGCTACAACCTCCTTTCAGGTAGTTGTAGAGAGCGATAAGGTCTCCCCTCAGCCTCCTCTTCTCCAGGCTAAACAGTCCCAGTTCCCTCAGCTGCTCCTCATAAGACTTGTTCTCCAGACCCCTCACCAGCCTCGTTGCCCTTCTCTGGACACACTCCAGCACCTCGACGTCCTTCTTGTAGTGAGGGACCCAAAACTGAACACAGTAGTCGAGGTGCGGCCTCACCAGTGCCGAGTACAGGGGCACGATCACTTCCCTACTCCTGCTGGCCACACTATTTCTGATACAGGCCAGGATGCCACTGGCCTTCTTGGCCACCTGGGCACACTGCCAGCTCATGTTCAGCCGGCTGTCAACCAGCACTCCCAGGTCCTTTTCCAACAGGCAGCTTTCCAGCCACTCCTCCCCAAGCCTGAAGCACTGCATGGGGTTGTTGCAGCTGAAGTGCAGGACCCAGCACTTGGCCTTGTTGAACCTCATACAGTTGGCCTGGGCCCATCGATCCAGCCTGTCCAGGTCCCTCTGCAGAGCCTTCCTACCCTCCAGCAGATCCACACTCCCGCCCAACTTGGTGTCATCTGCAAACTTACTGAGGGTGCACTCGATCCCCTCATCCAGATCATCGATAAAGATGTTGAACAAGACCGGCCCCAGGACTGCGCCCCGGGGAACACCGCTCGTGACCGGCCGCCAACTGGATTTAACTCTATTCACCACAACTCTCTGGGTCCGGCCATCCAGCCAGTTTTTGACCCAGCGCAGAGTCCACCTGTCTAAGCCATGAGCCACCAGCTTCTCTAGGAGACTGCTGTGGGAGACAGTGTCAAAGGCCTTGCTGAAGTCCAGGTAGACCACATCCACAGCCTTTCCCTCATCCACTAGGCAGGTCACCTGGTCATAGGAGATCAGGTTGGTCAAGCAGGACCTGCCTCTCATGAATCCATGCTGGCTGGGCCTGATCCCCTGGTTGTTCTGCTAAATTGCACTGCATAAAGACTATTCTAACAAGTTAAAATTTATGTTTCCTTATTTACTATTGTTGAAGAACCACTTTGACATGAAAATTGCTTAGAGAGGTTTAAGTCACTTGACAGTATTATCTCTTTCTTTTGAACAGAAAACCAAGGTTACTCTACAAAGCAGTTATCCAGCATCCAGTTTGTTTTCTCTTAAACACAGCATCAGTGTGAGTTAAAGGACACACCTTTGTCACCATTTCTGCACTGTGATGGAAAGGATTATGTCTAAGCACCCTCTAGAGCACAAATTGGAAGGTGTAATCTTTTGTTTGCAGAGTTCCCAGGAAAATATGCCACCTTACCTTGTGGTTACCAGATTCAAGGTGACATGGAAGCCAGACGGAATATTACTTCCTACAATAGTTCTGACATTCCCTGAATGTCACAACTGAAATCAGTTGTAAAACATCTATTAATTTACTGAGAGAGGGAGAGAATAAGATATGGAAGGAATCTAAAGGTGCCAGTCTGGTAGCTCCAGGGATGTGTTCACGCATACCCTGAAGCACCCATTTCGGCAAGGCCCAATAGATCCATAAGCCAGAATCCCTCTGACTCTCTCTGCCTCCTGAAAGCCACTCAACTTCAAGCTCTTCACAAGATACTGCAATGGCCACCATCTTTTAAAGCCTATCACTGGAAGACCTCGTTACTTACAGAACAACTGCTGAGTTCACACAGGACTGGAAGACATGTATTCAACTAACTCTCCCCTTCTACCTCAGTGCTTTCAACTGCAAGCATTTCCCTCCCCCCCCCACCTCCCCATATGGAGGCCAGATAAGGTGCTCAAAGTTTTAAAGAGTGCTTTTTATTCCTGTAAACCCTTCAGAACATTACTATCTTGGTAAAAAGCTGCCTCATCTCTTGGTAAATACCAGAGCAGTACTTTGAAAAAAAACATTGAGTTTCCTTTCTGAATAGTTCTGAAGTGTAGGCTGCTTTGTCTCCATCTAATTTTCAGTACAGCTGCTATTAGGAGCAAGAACACCCCACCTTTTCTTTACAAGCCAATGAATGTATTCTAAGAGACTGTCTAATACTTTCTGCTTACTTAAGCTCTCATCTTTGAAAAGACTCCCTTAAGAGACAGAGGCAATTATTTAAAAAAACCTGAAAAGCTTAAGTCTAAAGTTCAGATCTCAACTCTTATTACCCATTCTTGACTTTCTGAAGCCTCACCAACAGCACACAAGTTATTTTGCTTTCCCTATCCACCAAAAACACTGTTCTCCAGAATTCTGCAAATCTAAGGAGTTAAAAACTGCCTAGGCACTCCCTAAAAAACTTGAAAGCTTCCATCTACAGTAGTCACAATTGACTTAAACCTAGAACTAGCCATTCCCCACTCAAGTAAGAGGCTGTTTTGGTAAGGCAAAGATTTATTTATCAATTTTCACTTATGTCACACCAACTGATAAGATATTTACACAACAGTTTGAAATACACAGTATTTGCATTTTATACAAGCAACTAAATGCAGCCCGTAGTAAGTTTTCTACATGGTATCCAGATACTCCCACTGCAACATAATTCCACTTAAAACCCGACAGCCATAATGCTTCCACAAGAGTTTCTTTACCTGAGAAGTTTTAGTGTATCCTTTCAAGAGGAAGCCTGCAATTAAAAGCCACATACATAAGCCTATTTAAAGGTTGTCATTCCAGTTGCAAGTAATTTGCTTCCTTTGAAGCAAGGTCTGATATACTCTCCCTTAAGCCACATGATACTTGTGATGGCCCTTCTTCAGAAGTGCTGTCTGCATCATCGCCACAGTTAAGCTCTTCATTTTCTTGTTTGGGTTCCTCTAGAGCCAGACTCTCCAGTGTCTCAAGATTGTCAGGTGCTTGCCCAGTTAGCCTCTAGAAAGAAACAGAAGACAGTGAACCTAATGCTTTTTCTACTTAATAGCCAGTGAAATAAGACTGTGCATATTGACCTAAGCAAACTAATGATCTTCATTTGGAGATTGTTGATATAATTAAAACATTCCTCAGTCACAAAAATCTCAGACACTTGAGCTCAGCTCAAATTGCTACCTCTAACTCACAGCCCCCATCTGCTTTGTTGACTGTTAAGTCTTCCTTAACTTCTTCTGTAGGACAGGTTTTATCTTAGGCAACCTAAAATATAGGAAACAGCTTCCCAAGTTAAATATTACTATAGTACTATTTAGGTTTAATTTTAGAAAAATTACTATAAAACAGATTAAGTTTATAATTTTTAATTGGAGAAAAGGAAGCTACATTAAGCCTAGATGAACTAGAAGACCCAGCAGTTTCTAGCACTTGATCAAACTAAAAAAGTTCCTCACCTAACCTGATCTAAGGAAGAAAAACAGGACTGTAAGAAGCTGCTTTTGAGGCTTCTGGTTATTTGATATATCACTTAAGGCTCATTAAACCCTCAGAAGTGAGCAGCTTACAACTAATAAGTGAACTTAACTGTTGAGGAACTGCAGAGAAGTTCCCAACTACATTAGTTCTTTAAGTCCTTTCTGCCTGTGAGTTTATCACTAACAAGCAGCACTCCCTCAATACCAAAAGAAATTCAAGTGTAGCAAATTAGTGGAGTCTATTGAGACTGATCTAAATAATTGCACTAACTGAAAATTAACTTGATCAAGTTGCTTGCAATAATCTTCCATTTTGTTTCTACCTCCCCAGTTTAATCAGAGAATCAAAATATTTTCCAGGCACCCAGCTTCATATCCCAGTTGAGAGCTCAACCCCTACAAAAACAACCTAGCTGATAATTTCAGTATCAAGGCTCTATATATTTATCACTGCTTCAGAGGCTGTTACAGACAATCTACTCCTGTTAGAGGAGTCACGGAATCAGTGACACAACTACCCATCCCCAAGGAATTCTCAGAGGAAGCTGTTTTGAAACTTACAAGTTCATCAACCCTACAGACTTTGTGCATTAGCCCTTTTTGGGCCACGAAACTGGCAATTCCTCAGTGAAACCTTTACTTTAAAGAGCATAGGTGCTCCCTTCTCCCTCTCACTGCTCCACTTTGTGTGTCCCTGCTTCAAGTTTAGTTCCTAAAAGGACACAGCCAGTACAAACACTTCATTTAGCCAGCAGCCTCACACAACATATTAAGTATTTGAAAATAATCAGAAAAGTGAAAATGAACCCTTCCTTCCCTTGTTACCACCTCTAACAAGCAAAGCCTGTTCTGTTAAGACAATAGGTTGAATCTCCCCTTCAGAAAACATCACTCTTATTACTTCCTCATTACTCCTGTGGGTTCTAAGGTGGAAAACCTCATCCCCTGGAAGGGGCTTTATGCCTCTGGATTAGAGCAATACCACAGGAAACAGGTCAGATCAGAAGTCATGATTCATTAAAAATCTCTTTGCTGGTTTCTCACTTTTTCATTCTACAACATTAACAGAACATTCCTTTAAGTACCTCAATCATGCTGGCCATATAATGCACATGTTCAGCAAGGGACATTAGCTCTTCATTTTCTTCTTTTAGGCGGGCAATTTCACCATCTTTCTGTTCGATTTCTTTGTGTAACTGAGTTCAAATAACAAAGTGTTAAAACAGGAAGACAATAGCCAGTGGTAAAGAAGTTAGTTATCTTTCACTAGCTACCTTTTCATTTTCTTGAAGCACTTCATACAGAGCCTTCCTCCTTTCTTCAGCCACTTCTTTCCAATATTGAGATGAAGGACTTCCTGAAGTAAGAAGCTACAGTAAGTCCGTGCTAAGACTGAATTGTTGAGATCACCTTCAGAACATTTGTATACAAGTTAGGTATCTATAAACTATGATAGTAAGAACTCACTCCATATAGTGTTTTCCCAGAGATTAGTTGTAAATTTACAACTAGAGACATAAGCTTACAGAAAACAGGGATCCTACACTGTATTAACAGCTACACAGGCAGAGTCTTCAAGAAACTGCCTCAAGCATGGCACCAGGCTTTGCAAGATGGTAACATTTGCAAGTGTCAGTCTCAGTGCGTACTTCGTGGAAGACAGAAGTCTTATTCCCAAGTCACTGTCCATATTGGGCTTAATGGTTCTGAGAAACTGCACACAGCACACTATGGCAAAACAGGCTTTCATGTCAACTTAATTGTTAGTCACTTGAAAGCTCGTAGCTGAGCCAAAGTAACAAGCTACAGGACTTCTTAACACTGCTGCACACAATAGTTCTCAGCTACTGGTTACCATAAACCCATTCTTAAACATTAGATATCTATACTGTATTTACTATACTATAGAGGATAAGCAACATTAATTCCTGCTAGGCATTACAAAACCAGACAAAGCCCTTATCTAACTGACAAAGGAACAGAGTTTCAAATTATATTCCAATGGGAGCATAGTGTTTAAGTGCAAGAAAACATTTCAGGAATTACCACATACCTTTTATCATGAGATCTACAGCTTGAATGACATCATTCATATTCTCATTTTCTTGCTCCTTGTCCACAGACACCTCAGCTTTACAAGCCTTTGAGGTGAACTTGTTATTCCAGAGTTTCCTTTTGACTGAAGATTTCTTCTGCATAAAACACAGGCAGGTTTAACTTCAGAGCAACATTTCAGCTTTTTTAAAAAGACAAACTTGTAAGTCTGCTCACTCATGAGTGCAAATAAAGTCTTTATAAGCCCCGCTTTTGTCACATTATAATTCTAGTTTACAGACATCTTCCTTGATACCCATAGGTTTAACAAAAGAAAAATCTCAAACATTTGCCTGAAGTACTCAGAAATTGCTAGTTTTTAATATTATTTCTTACTAAAATAATAGTGAGCTTAAGTTGTGTTACACTAGTTAGCGGACTATATGTTTTTTCAAATATATTAGTTTTCAGTTAAAAGCTCAAAGCATTTCACTGAGTAGAAATAATTACACATCTACAGGTTATCTTTTAATTCATACCTCATTACGTCTGCCAATCATGCAACCTGTTGCTGAAGGCTGAATCATTTTAAGAGTTCGTCTTGGGGCAGCACTGCATGTGGTGTCTGTGAGGTACTTCTAAAAAGACAAACATGGCTTCAGACAGTTGCCATTCTTCTCTACATAAACTGAAAGTTTGGAATGTCATGCTTCCGTTAAGGTAACCCATGGTTCATCTTTTCAAGACAAAAAGATGATACTTTAGTCTATGTTAAGGCTTGTGTAAAAAAGGGGATCTAGTTATTTGTAGCAGAGATTGATCTTAATCACAAAGCTATGCTCAGTCCCTGCCTCTTATAAAACCCTTACCCTTCATAAAGGAATGTGAACAGGCCTTATAGCAGAACTATTCTGACTAGATTGCAAGGCAAGTTACAGTGCAGTGATACATGTAAACTTCAGCCAAAGCTCTCAAGTTTGTATTTGACAACAGCAGTATTAGACTTCACAGGGCAGAGACAGAAGTGACTGCAATTGCAAGTTTACCTGGTAAAGTCACACATAAAACTTTAGGCAGTACCTGTTTTTGTTACCTGTGAACACATGCTCAAGTGGTGTTCATTTAGATAGATGTGTTGCTTCGATTATCCATTAAAATGGATCTAAAGCTTCCTTGCTTCAATCCAGACAGGCTATTGTTTTGTATAAACAGTATGTTTATCACCTTTCCTGTCATGCATAAATACCTATTTCCTGCATTAAGGCTTTCTGATTGGGTTGGTTACATTGCCACCATGGGATAGCAAACAATGGCAGACAACCGAGCAAGAATAGCCAGAATACAATGCCACACCAGCGTGAGAAAGTTACTGATTCACACTGTACTTCATATGACAAGAGTTCACCTTTCCCACGGTAGTTTCTGCCACCAATTATCCTACTGTTGAACTAAAGGACAAACACTAACTGCTGTGGGAACAAGAATCACACCATGTGTCAGACACTGCTTGCTCCTATTGAAGGGTAGAGTTAAGTATACTCCACCAATAAATTATTGGCTAATACTTGAGTTAACCCATTGAAAGTGCAAAAAGCCACACTGAGGAATTTATACCCTAGAATCACTACAGGACAAGAGTACCGTGTGTTTAAGTCAGACTTATCAGCTGGCAATTTTCATTAATACCAGAAATTTTCATTACAATCACTCTATCCCTCATGATAGAAGGCTAGTAGCCTCTATTTTATATGCTATTTGTACAATTCCAACCAGGGCCTACATTAAAAGGTTTAACAAGAGTCTTGTAACAAGACTGGAATAGGTATAAACTTCAGTAACTTCCTATCAATAACCTCTTAAACACCTAAGTCCTTTAAGCATTTCCACCAATTCCAAGGCAACTATGGTCCATGAGGGTGACTTTAGAAACAGAACTGCCTGCATGAATACTTCAGTTAAAGCATGCTCAAGACAGATTTAACTCTTAGTAAGTTCATCCCTATAAAGGACAGACTACAGAACCTTCTCTACAACCCCTTAGCAGCCAGACTGATTCAGTAACCGAACTAAGGCAGGTAGCCAGTAACTAAAAAATCATACGGAAAGACAACAAGATGAGTGTCAAAGTAAAAAGGACTTGCTGAGCAGTAAGAAAAAAAAGTAGCCATAAGCACATATGCCCAAGCAGGACAGAGTGTTCCCAAGGCACACTGCCTGCCAGGAGATTACTCAAGCCAACAGGACATAAGCCAGGTGGAAGCACATTGCAACAGATCCCTTTGTATTCCTTCAGCAGATATAAAACTTGTGTCAGACAGAAGGACCATTTCCCAGAGAATTGAGCACACACCTCAGAACAAAGCAAATTCTGTGTTTGAGATACTCTTTATAAATTTCATCTTCTATTTTCTATCCCTTATCTGCTCCCATATTCTAGCTTCAAGACTTTAAAGCCTATACCTGCAAAGGTCCTGATGATTTTTCTGCATTCAGTTTCTGTTTCATTTTGGAATTCATAGGATCACTGCAAAAAAAAAAGTAAAAAATCAGTAACATCCGGCTGCAACTGAAGTTTAGGGACACTGGTTACAGAGTACTACAGTCTCAGTTTATCAACTTTTATGACAGCATCAAAAATTCAGTCCCGAATGGCGTGGTCAGCAGGCTCTTCCAGAGCCCTTGGAGCCCCTCTTGGGGTTCCTCCCCGAGGTATGAGCTGCAAGCGCGCTAGAAACGCAAAGCCCTGAGGAGACACCCCGTCTCGCTGCCACGCCAGCCCACCACAGACGCCACCACGCATTACAGCCCCATTAAGCCTTCCCACAGGGATGGCGGCGAGGTGCAACAGTTGCACACCCAAGATGGCGGGGGGCGGCACCCTCCCGCTCCCGCCAGCCGAGGCCGCAGCTCCCCTCCTCG